CGAATCCTTGAGCCGTGAACCCTAGAATTAGTATGACCATGGGCTCGTTTTAATGCATTAAGAATGGCATGATCATAATAAGAACCGAGCCTAAGTATACGCACGCCCCTAGCCGCACGTGCACCCTCACCCGGGAGTGAGCCATGAACCGAGCCCTTGGTCATTTCATCTCTAAATTCTAGTCCATGCGCGTGATTTAGAGAATAATAGAAGCATGTTAAGCCTAATTTCAGCCTAATAGGGATTACCAATGTCAAAGACTTCATTAGCTATTGTTTATGCTTAATCAAGTTAACATGGGTGTTGAATTATTATATTCACCATGTAAGTCTTTGCTTCCCACTTTCTCTAGTACATGGACCATGCCATGTCAACTCTTTTCAGCCCTCCATACACGCACATGATAAGATTCTAGTGCTCAAAGTGCCCCACCATCATGCAAGAATCCCACACAAGCACCTTGGAGTTAACATGCACAAGACTTTGTCTCCCACTATGTTTCCCGCTTCTAGCTTAAGAAGCTCAGCCCAAAGGACCTACTTAAGATCCCATTTCAGCTCCTTTGAATCTCCTCTCTACACTTAGTGAAATACAAGCAAAGTCCCTTCATTACTCCAAAAAAACCGAGAGCAAATAGCTAGTGCCAAGAGGAAAGTTCAAAATCCCGAGTGCATGTTTGATAGTGATTTCAAGTTCTAGCCATCAACTCTTTCTACCAACTATATTATATCACTTTTACCTTATTCTATACTCCCTATAGAAGTGTTTTGAGGCTTCAAGTTCAAGAAGAGTCGAAGAGATTAAGCACAAAGTCGAGAGAAACTTCTCTTGCATTTTTTATGAAGATTAAGAGGATGGTGTGCTCAAATCATTTTAAAATAATATTATAGATGAGATGGGGAGTTGATTGATGTATAATTATCCTATATATTTTCAGCTTTTAAGTGTATATAAGCATGCAAGAAGTTAAAGTTGTCCCAGCTAGCATGAGTGTTTCTTATGTGCTGTTTTCATGTGGTTTTGACTATACTATGAAAAACCTGGTATTGTGCTAATTTTATGGATATTTCTTGTGTAAAATAGGAGCGCATAGGATCAAGAATCAAGTGATTTAGACTAGTATAACTCGAGTTATAGAATAGGATCAAGAATCAAGAATGAAGATAAGTATGCAAGTTGATTTTTATATGGCAGATTTCAGCTGCGACTTCAAACGCGAATAACTCGAGTTCTACTCAGGATAAAATTATGAATTTTATGGACATATTTATATATGATTTAGGAGCTTGCATATCAAGTTTCATGATTTTATCTTCAGAAATGAGTGAGTTATATATTTTAGACCGTATGCATGTCATGTTGAATTTTATGGTCATAGAACTCCCTCAATACATGCGTATTTGATGTGAAATTTTAATGAGCATTTCTTGTATGAGATATGAGTGGTTTCACAAATTTTCAGCTTCAGAAGCTAAGTGTAGGATTTTATAAAATTCCGAGAAGTAATAGGGGTCAAATTCATGTTTAAGTGCAAAGTTTATATAATTGGTTGACCAAGCTAATGACATGATAATGAGCTGAAATTTTAACTAGAGATGCATGTCTATGTGTAGTATATAACTTCTAAGTTTCAGCATTTTTAGAGTTAAATATGATTTTATAAAAATCATGAGATTTGAGGGTTCCTTTAGCTTATTTTGTTAAAATAAGTTAGCATGCTTAGACTTGAGTGATTATCCCTCAATTAGTATTATTTAAATATGATATGTTTGATTTAATATTTAAGAGATTATATGAGTAGATATATTTCTTGAATATTTTGGTAGCTTAAGGAGAGTCGAGCCTCCGACAGCTACCCCAACATTTCAGCACTTGCGTCAGTCAGATATTTTTTACAGTATACCAAGTGGGAGCCTTTAGAGGGCGTTACATTGCGCATTTCAGTTATCCTGTATAAGGTACGTGAGTAAGATATTTACCCGAATGGTCAAAGTATCCCGTTTGTGGTTCAGTTAGTTTCTCCCAGGTGGAGGCCGAGGGCCTTAATATCCCATCTTGGGACCCTGTGGAGGCCAAGGGCCTTAATATCCCATTGGGGTGTGCACACGAGCGGCCGAGGGCCGAGGGTCTTTTGACCACAGTAAAGCAAGAAAAGAAAAGTTTACAGTTTAAGCTCTTATATGTATATGTTCATGACACGTTATTATAAAGGTTGTTTTATTAAGTACTGGTCTTACATAGATGTGCGGGTCATATACTAGATTCCACATCATATATATAATATCTGTATCATGGCAGAGGTATGTGTGAGACAGTTAGTTTCTCCCAGGTGGAGGCCGAGGGCCTTAATATCTCATCGGGGTGTGCACACGAGCGGCCGAAGGCCGAGGGCCTTTTGACCACCATAAAGAAAGAAAAGAAAAGTTTACAGTACAGTACAACTTATATTTTTGTATGTTGCTTTTAAATTTATGTTTACAGTTAAGATTATTACAGTTCTAGTTTTTCCCACAAGCATGCAGATGTGCTCACACTCCCACGGTTTTCTTATTTCAGGTGACGGAGTCTAGCGTACCGAGTGAGCCAGCGTGGCAAGTAGTGGTCATGAGCCGGGGACATTTTTACCCACCATTTTATGTCCCATTATTCATGAACTAGTTTATATATTAAGTTGTATGATTGTATTCCATACTTTATGCTTCCGCTAAGTGGTTTGTGCGAAACAGACGGACTGCATGTATAATTTCATTATCGCAATAGTGGCTCGATTTGGTTGCATGTTTTAAAATGTCCGAGATAGTAAGTTAAGAAAGATTTAGTAGCATCCCGCAGGAGATAAGTATTTTCGAAAATAAGCTCACACGACATTTCGAAAATAAAAGCGAAAAATTTACTCTAATTTTAAAAAGTCAAATCTAGTCAAGGCGGGGTGTTACAGTGGCTGACGACCACAATCAATGTGAGTATTCCACCAGTGTTATCAATCCGAGTCTAAGCCTAAGCTCTTCAATATAAGTCGAGGATTTGACATCTCCTTACTTTTGTGTCTATCTTTATATATCTTTTTTTCGGCTTTCTGGAAGAAGTTTGGGTCTGCTATGAGGTTGGGTTTGGAGCCTGGGTTTTCCCTCCACATAGGCCTTTTTGCAGTTTTGGCAGTTTCTCCGGTTGCGGATGTTTCCTAAGGGTCGATTGTCACCGGTCTCGTTCGGTCGATTTGCTTAGGAAGGGTTCTTTGTTGTTGTAATTGTTTTTGTTTCGTTTTTCTTTTAGGTGTATTTGTCTGTTTGTTTTGTTTGGTAGGGTTTTTTTTTTGGTTTGGGTTGTTGGCCCCAGTTTTGTGCCCGAGTGAGAGCGGATATTATCCTGTTGAGATCGTTTTTGTCTTTATTTGGGAGTTAGTAGTTTTTTTTTTTTTGTGTGTGTTTTGTGTTGTCGTGAGTGTGTTCTTCTATCGTTGTTAATTTAAGCTCTAGGCGATCTTCGGATCTATTCCCCCAGTCTTTCAGCCTTTGGTTCTATCTTTTAGCTCTTGGTTATTCTTTCTTCGCACTTTGTGCGGTTTTTAGTTATATAATATCTCTATCATTTTGGAAAAAAAAAAAAAAGGAGTTAAATTCAAACATACCATGAAACTTAAGATGACAGAAAAAACAAAACTGATGAAAAATCCGTTTTCACAGTTTTTTACGTTCGTCAATATACCAGCACAAAAATTTCTCATCTTAAAGGGACATCATTGTCTCCTGCATAGGTAGAGTACCTTCACGTCTTCCTTTGGGCAGAGCTCAACGATTAATTAATCTAAAATTACCCAATATTCCAAAGCGTCTTCAATACATTTTGGTCGTTTAAAATTAAGATAATAATTTCCAACTCAATTATGTTGTTCAATTAAGGATTCACCATGTGTTTAGAAGGAAAAAATTGCATTGAATGATGACTTTTAGTTGTAAGCAAAACACAATCCACCCATTACCACTGACACCCTTATGCATTGGAATTGGCTAACCAACCACTTGTCTAAGGAAAAATGTTGTCAGGGCTCCTGAAGCTCGTAGGCATAGTGCAAAGTCCCCGGTGACTCGGGCCCTTCACTACCTATGGTACGGTGGCCGAAAACGCCATCTAATATCTTCCGTTTTTCCTATTGTCAAAGGCTTTCTAGAGCAACGAAAAAAATTTCTCGTTAGTGAGAGCGCCAAGAGGCAATTTTGGGAGGATCTGGATACCTTGGTTTGTACGGTGTCTGCCAGCGAGAAACTCTTCGTAGAAGGAGACGTAAACGACCATGTGGGTGCGACTAATGTAGGTTTTGATAGAGTGCACGGAGGGTTTGGGTATGGTAGTAGGAACGAAGAGGAGGAGGGTGTATTGGACTTTGCGATGGCCTACGACTTGTTGATAGCAAACACCCTCTTTAGGAAGAGGGAACCTCACCTAGTGACCTTCCATAGTGGACGACACTCAAGTCAGATCGACTTTATCCTTGCAAGAAAGGATGATAGACGCGCTTGCGTAGATTGCAAGGTGATACCTGAGGATATCATACTGGTGACAAGGGACTTAAAAAGCAAAAGAAGTTAAAATTTATGCTTCCATGACGAGGATATCTGAATATGAAATACACTTTGTTACTGATGTGCACTTATGTACAAAGAATGAATGTTTCTGGTCCACAATGCACTATATACTCGAGATGCATCGTGACAACATAGTATTTAAGCAATGAAAACACATACCAAGTATCATAAGCATCAAACACTATTTTATAGCATTCACCACAGAAAGAAGATTCAGCCAGACGACATACACTACAAAAAGAAATAACATAAAGCCAAAATACATACACGACAAAAAGAAATAACAACACAACTGAAGCTTCCAAAAGCCCAAATACAAACACGTCCAAGTTACAAGCCTGAAATTCATAAACCTGAACCTCATTCAGCTGAGACGTTATTTTTTCACAAAGATCCAGCTCTACCACTCATCACAAATCAGTACTTTGTTCTTCCATCACCCTCTGTGATCACATCTTTAAAAGCACCACCGCTGGGTATCATGGGCAGCACGTGCTCTTGATGTGGTACAACAACATCCAACAGATACGGCCCAGGAGTATCCAACATCTGCCGAATTGCTGCCATCAAATCACCCTTCTTTGTCACACGAGCAGCAGGAATATCGCAAGCCTCAGCAAACTTCAACATGTCAGGGAAAATTTCCGAGTCTTTAGACGGATTACCCAGATAAGTATGCGCCCGGTTAGACTTGTAAAACCGGTCTTCCCATTGGACCACCATGCCCAGATGCTGGTTGTTCAACAACATAATCTTGACAGGAAGGTTCTCCACACGGATTGTGGCCAGCTCCTGCACATTCATAATGAAACTCCCATCACCATCAATGTCCACCACAACAGCATCTGGTCTTGCTACGGCTGCTCCAATTGCAGCAGGCAGTCCGAAACCCATGGCCCCTAAACCGCTCGACGTCAACCACTGACGTGGCATATTGTACTTGTAAAACTGTGCGGCCCACATCTGGTGTTGCCCCACACCAGTGCTAATGATTGCATTACCACCCGTCAGCTCGTCAAGAACCTGAATTGCGTACTGGGGAGGAATTGCATCCTCAAAAGTCTTGAAACTTAAAGGAAACTTCCTCTTCTGCTCTTTAAGCTCTTCTCTCCATGCTGAGAAGTTGAGATTGCACGCTTTTCCTTCCAGTATTGAATTCAAACCCTCGAGAGCCAATTTAATATCAGCGCAAATGGAAACGTGTGGCTGCTTGTTCTTTCCTATCTCGGCAGAGTCGATATCGATATGGACAATCTTCGCTCGGCTGGCAAATGCTTCCAGCTTGCCCGTTACACGATCATCAAACCTGACTCCAAAAGCCAGCAACAAATCACTCTTGTCCACAGCATAGTTAGCATACACTGTCCCATGCATACCCAACATATGCAACGAGATCTCGTCATCTGAGCCTGGATAAGAACCGAGACCCATCAGCGTGCTAGCAACAGGTATACCCGTGAGCTCCACAAACCGCCTCAACGCCTCACTTGAGTTCAAACACCCCCCGCCAACATAAAGAACCGGTCTTTTTGACTCTGATATCAACCTAACTATTTGCTCTAACAACATCCCGTTCGGAGGCTTAGGCAGCCTAGACAGGTATCCAGCCAAACGCATGGGCTGATCCCAATTAGGGACCACCATCTGCTGTTGGATATCTTTTGGGATATCAATCAGAACAGGGCCTGGCCTGCCTGACCGTGCAATAAAGAAAGCCTCTTTCACAACCCTAGGAATATCCTCAACATCTAGAACGAGATAGTTATGCTTGGTGATTGACCGGGTTACCTCGACAATGGGGGTTTCCTGGAAAGCATCAGTGCCGATCATGCGGCGGGGAACTTGACCGGTAATGGCAACAAGGGGCACGCTGTCCAAGAGGGCATCTGCGAGCCCGGACACCAGATTTGTGGCCCCAGGGCCCGACGTGGCGATGCAGACGCCCGGGAGACCAGAAGCTCGCGCGTAGCCCTCGGCTGCAAAGACGCCGCCTTGCTCGTGGCGGGGGAGAACGTTTCGGATGACGTTGGAGCGCGTGAGGGCTTGGTGGATCTCCATGGACGCGCCTCCGGGGTACGCGAAGACGTCGGTGACCCCCTCCCGCTCGAGCGCTTCCACCAGGACGTCGCTGCCCTTGCGAGGCTCATCGGGGGCGAAACGGGAAGCATAAGTCTCCTCATGGAGAAGCCTTTTGTCGGGAGAAGTGAGAACGTTCGAGATTTGGAACGCCGGGCGGCGGTGCAAGGCGGAAGAAGCGGTGGGCCTTTGGGCGTTTCGGGGGAATGGGAGGGCAAATCCGGAAAGAAGCTTCGGCGAATTGAAGAAAAAAGGGCTCTTTGAGAATGAGGAGGAGGTTGGGGAGGGAGCAGAAGCTGCCATTGCTGACGGAGGATAGATTTGATGAGAAGCGGCGGCGTTGGTTGTTAATGAAATAGAAGACGTAAGCTACCCGGATAGCTAATGAAATAGCTACTTTGGCATTTCATCTCCACTGCGAAAGAAATTAAGAGACGGGAAGTTTTTTACACGGCCAAATGAAATATTAACTTGTTAAATTAAATTGTGTGATAAACAATGAGACAAAAGAATAATCTACATCTATATAAAAAGAATTATCATTTATCAAGAATTGTAAAGTCAATCTTGATCAAAATTGGTCATCATTAATTACATGTCATTTATAGTAGCTTTTTAATATTTTTTTAAATGTTGTCCTTAAAATGAGGAGTTTGTTACTTTTTTTTTTTCAAAACAAAGAAATGATATATAAACTAAAAAAGAGAACAAAGTTCAGCAAACAGAGCCAACAAGCCTGGCCAAGCTACTACACAAAACTGAAAACTAAAAACAACTCTAACACAAAGCAACTGGAGAACCATACAGGATGGCCTAGAAAGGATAAAGGGACAATATGGATCATCTATTGGGCAGTATAGAATACTGAGGCCCTGAGACTAACCATATGTCAAAAGAATAACCAAGCCACTGCAATACTGCCTAGCTAGGGAACAAGCAAAAAGACAAAATCAACACAGAAAAAAAGAAACAGAGCTGAGACCACTAAGGCAAGTCAGAGAATTCCTTCCATTCAGAGCAAGCACCTTCCACCACTAATCTCTCTGGCTGCTTTTGGTTTTTGAAGACCCAGAGGTTCCTTGATTTCCATAACCACCATAGGATATAGGTGGTTAATTGTATTCTATCCTCAGCCTCTTTCTCTCTGTGCAGCATACAGATTTCTAACCACCAGCTTTTAAAGCTACAAACTTCTTGCTGCAGTGATGTCCAAGTTACAGGGGCCAATCTCCAAACTAGTTTAGCTCTAGGACAGTTGAACAAAATGTGCTCTGCAGTTTCCACAGATTCTCCACAGACTTTGCAAATGATGTCCACCTTGACACCTCTCTTACACAGGTTTGAAAGTGATGGGAGAATACCTGAATAGCACTTCCAGTTCCAGATGAAGTGCTTAATTTTCATCTTGATTCTAAGCTTCCAGCAGAAACCTCTTGCTTTGAGAAACTCTGTTCTTTGGTTGCTGGATTCAGGGATATCCAGCTTCAGAATCTTGCTACATATCAAGTTCTCATAGGTAGATGCAACTGTAAATCTGCCCTTTTTGTGGAAAATCCAGGTGGGAGTGTCTCTTTGAGATTTGTCAATGGTGCTGATACTTTGAATGGCTTCACAGTCTGCAGGAGAAAAAATCTGATTAAGGAGCTCAACATTCCAAGCATCTCTGTCAGGCAACAAAAGTTCCCAGACCCATGTTGGAGGATTGCTTGCAGAAGGATTCCTGCAAGGTTTGTGATTGAGGAGAGATGGGACCCATGGATGATCCCAAATTTTTGTATCTCTACCATCTCTGACAGTCATAAAAAGCCCCTGCTCAAAAACAGCACTTAAGCTCATCCAGCTCCTCCACAACCAAGAGCTGCTTTGTGGAGGTTTGGAATTAAAGAGGGAGCAGTTAGGAAAATATTTATCTTTGAGCATTTGACTAACAAGTAACTGGGGCTTGGAGTGGATCCTCCAGAGTTGCTTCAGGATTAAAGATTCATTGAAAAGCTTAATATCAGAAAAGCCCAAACCTCCCTTATCAGTAGGGGTGGTTAACAATTGCCGTTTTTTCCAATGGAGACCCTTAGATTGATCACTCTTGGACCACCAGAATTCAACAAAAAGCTTTGCAATCTCAGAACAGATGCTGGTGGGCATGAGAAAGCAAGACATGACAAAGGTTGGAAGTGCAGAAAGCACAGATTTAATCAAAACTTCTTTCCCGGCAGATGAGAGAAATTTGTTTTTCCAATTTTTAATTCTGTCTCTGACATTGCTAAGAACAAAAGAGAAAGCTTGCTTTTTAGACAGGCCAATGCCTAGGGGGAGCCCTAGGTATTTAGTGGAGAATTGGATTTGGATGCCTTGCAAAAGACTACAGATATCATTTTGGACTGAAGAGGGGGTGTTTTTACTGAAAAAGATCGAGAATTTAGACAAGTTGATTTTCTGGCCTGAGTTAAGGTAGTAGCAGTGCAAAATTCTGAGAATCTCATTAGCTTGCTCAGGAGAAGCTTTACAAAAAAGCAAAGTGTCATCAGCGCAAAAAAGGTGGGAAAGTTCAGGTCCATTTTTGGAGAGCTTGAGACCAGTTAATGAACCTTGCTGAGCAGAATAGTTTAACAGAGAAGAGAGAAGCTCAGAGACAATGATGAAAAGATAGGGTGACAGTGGGTCACCCTGTCTAATGCCCCTCGATGGAGAAACAAAGCCACATTTTTTACCATTCAAGTTAAAGGAGAAACTAGAAGAAGATACACAGCTCATAATCCATTTAACAAACAAAGAATGAAACCCCATTCTAAGCAAAATAGCTTTAAGACAAGGCCATTCTATTCTATCAAAAGCTTTTTCCATATCCAGCTTTAAAGCCATATAACATTTAGAACCAGTTCTATGCCTATTCAGATAATGCATGGCTTCTTGGGCTATGATAACATTGTCTAGGAGTTGTCTATCCTGAATAAAGGCAGCTTGGTTTGCACTGATACAAGTGGGAAGACAACTCTTAAGTCTAGAGGCTAAGATTTTAGAAATAATTTTGAAGGCAACACAACACAAGCTAATAGGTCTGTAGTGCTCAACTCTTGAAGGATTAAGAGATTTAGGGATAAGGGTTAAAACAGTGTGGTTCCAAGATTTAGCCATGAACCCAGAGTTGAAAAAAGCATAAATAGCATCACACAGACTGTCTTTAATAGTGCTCCAGTTTTTTTGAAAGAAAAGAGGGGTCATACCGTCATGCCCTGGTGCTTTGTTAGGATTCATGCCGTCTAAAACTCTCTTCACTTCTTCTTCTGTCACAGATGGGAGAAGTCTGTTGTGTTGGGACATATGAGGATCTCGATATGCACAAATCACGGACAAACATTCAACATAAACCTATGCGCAGCGGATCTAAAGGTTTGATGTAGAAAACTTACTGCTTAAAATTTATGTAGATCTGGTTGGCCCGAACAGTTGACCGCAAATCAAATCTTCTCGGAATCGAACAAACTTGACCAATCCAGAAAGCTGACATCACGGCGAAGTCAACGGCGTTGACCGATTGGAAAACTGACGATTCACGCACTCTCACGCGCGCGAGTAAGCTCCGGCAGCTGCTCCCTTCAGGCGGCGCGTGACGGCGCGTGCGGTGGCGGACGGCGGCGATCTCGACGGCGATCTCTTCGTCTCGTCGTCCTGGTCGTCGTGGTATGGTCACTTGCTGGTTTTGGTCTCCGGTTTGGATGTATGATTGGAATCTCTATATACCTTAAGATCTTCTACTGTATTCTCAAACAGCTTTCTAGATCTTGTATCAGTGGAGCACAAGAAATAGAAGAACTCCTTGGTGTTGGTGTTATATACTTAAGCTTTGCTTTAGTGCATATTACACTTGTTATTCCT